GTCAGAGACAATGCCAGTATTTGGAGAGAAACGCAAAATATTGAAAACGTGCATATCGATGTTAACATTAAATTTACTCAATTTTAAGAAATTTCAAAGTAAAATATAATTATATCAGAATAACGTGTTTCTACCATAAATTTGAAATATTTCATTCAGCTTGATATTGTTAAAGAAGCGTTCTTTGTAGGGAATAAATGAAGACCTGACTACCCTTCCGCTTTTGGCGTAATTCTTCCTCTTTTGATAATTAACACAAAATTACGCTGTTACGCCATGAAATTTAATTTTACGCTTTTAAATATTTTTCCTAGAAAACTTCTTTATGAAAGGCTAACTTGGGAGTTAAAGTAAAGGCTAAATGAAAACGGGAAGGTAAATGATACTAATTAATAGAGGATTTCGATTCTTCACGATATGATTATTTACGATACAGACAACATACGTAATATACCTTGTAGTTATAATATGCCTTTTAAGTGGGTGGCATTCCAAAGATTATAAAACAATTGAATGAAATGTGCAATAAGTAAAGTCAGTTTAATTTTCAAATCAGTTTATTCTTACATTGCTTAGAACAAATAGAGACAAGTAAATGTATAGAAAACAAAAACGACAGCAAAATAATGTAGAATTTGTATTAATATGGAAATGAAGCTCTTAATTATGTGATTTGCTAGAAATTAACCAAACGTTCATTAAGTAGTAAGTTTAAATAAGTTTGATATTACTACATTTAGGATACCAGTTTCACAGCACATGGACTTTTTGTCAATAAATGACTTTAAAGAAAAACATTCATGTTTGCTTTGTTCAATGATGTACAATTACTGGTTTATCTAGACAATTTCGTATCATTGTAAAACATCAAACAAGGGAAACATAACAGATTACGCCTTTACCCCTGAAAGTCCACCTAAATGAGTATTGAAATTACACTCTCGCACTAATAAAAGGTCTGTAAATGGATTACATGTTCACCAAAATGTCCGCTGTGTAAAATGACGTTCAAACATTAGTATTTTGGGGGATTAAATTCAAATACTTTAATACGAATGAAAAATTTATTAAATTTGCACAATGTGCTTATGCACATGGTCAGAATTATTGTCAGATTGATAAATTCACTCTATATATGAATACTTTTAAAAACGTTTAGGATCTTCAAATATTTGTCCAATCGACGTTCTTATTGAAATATGAGGTGTATTTCTTTTTTCTTAAACAAACGGCAGAAAAGGCGTTTAAGACTTATTTTGGTTTAGTAATGAAAAATTTATCATATATAAATCAAGTTGAGACGTTTCGTTCATTTGTCTAATTAAAGTAGCCGATAATTTTAACGCATATTTCAAAAACCAATTAAAAAAAGGTCGATCATGGATAGTTTACTTCCGCAGCGCTATAAAAACTAACATCAACAATGTGCTTAATGTCTAAAACGATCTTACTACTACTACTCTGACTAACAAAGTTTTGATTTATTATTCTTTGATGAAACATCTCATATTAAAGTTAAAGTTAGAAGGTCCAAAAACTAGACAAAGAATGAGTGATTTATAAAATTAATATCACTTAATTTTTCATATACACTTATTCTTCACCCTAACATTTGATATGTAAATTTGGTGTTAAGACCTTCCTTATTTTTTTTTTAAGTTAATACATGTATTTCACTCTGCATGTTCTTCCTAACTAAGACCGTTCATGGTAGCTCAGTCGGAAGAGCGCTCGCTCCGTGATCGGGAGGTCGTGAGTTCGAATCTCGGCCGCGACTGACCCAAGTCGATAAAAAATGGGTAGCAACTGTTCCTTTGCCATGTGCTCGGCACTTTGAAGTGAAAATTGTGGGTCCTTCGGATGAGACCTTAAAAACCGAGGCCCCGTGTCATGACAAGCGTTGGCACGATAAGGATCCCTCACTGCTCAATGGCCGTAAGTGCCGAGTAAAGGTCAAAATTTATAGCCCTTCACTGGTATATGGTGGCATCTCCTTATGAGTGAAATATTCTCGAATGAGATGTAAAACAACATACAATCAATCAATCCTCCATCACTTTTCCCCAGTTTCATATTTTGGTGTTGGTTAAGATTTATACTATAAAAAAAGAAATAAATATTTGTTAAATGTTAAGCAATGTTTTATAATCTTACCTCTATGCTTTCATCTACATCAGGGTATTTCTTATATGATCTAAGGATAGTGGCCAAAGGAAAAGTTTGCGTCGAAGTGCGAACATGGAACTAAAACGTCAATATATATAAATATAAATATATATATATATATATATATATATATATATATATATATATATATAAATCGATATATTCTCTACGAGACGGAAACAAACGTCAAATCGTATTACATTTAATTTCTGTTTTCTACGGAAACTCTTCATCAAGATCAAAACCCAACCAATATCGTTATTTGTTTTAGTAGTATTCCCTTGTAACATACACATGGCCTAAGATGATAAATATTACTTCTAATCTGACAAATCTTCTTGAGAAAATCATCTTGAATATAAAGCACAGATTTCAGTATCTGTAGAAGATTTTTCTCAGACAAATAGTGAAGGTAATAAAGGCTAACAAACAATAAAAAAGCAAAGGTTTTTTTTTTTCACTAATTTTAATATAAAATCCAACTACAATTACTTTCCAAATAATATCAAATTTTAGAAAAAAGCGAACTTTTTCCCATATGGGTTTAATAATTTTACAATCAAACAGTAAATAATTTGTATCATCTTCAGTTCCACAATTTTCACGCGAAGGAGAAATATCTTTATTCCACTTGCTCACATAGACATTGTTGTTCAAAATACCACGTAATAATTTATATTCAAATTCCGATATTCTCTTCTCGTACATATTCATAATCTTGTTTTTATAAATATTCTTTCTATATACAACCATCCAGAACATTAATTATTCTTTTCCATCTATTTTCTAACAAAGGTTTTTGAAATTTAATAACAATAAAAATTGAGAAATAAAAAATGCTTTTTATATCTCGTAAAGATTTAACAACGTTATTTTAAATTAAAGCAAGATGTGTTTCTGAAACACTGATGCCCCCGTATGGCAACTTATAGCAAAGGTTAAACTTTCTCAAATGCAAATCAAATATGTTGATACCCAAAGAAAGGCCTTGCCTCGAGGACTAAACCTGTGAAATATGAATGGCCTAGCAGCAACCATTGAATAGATATTGAAAAGGTTAATTTTTTTTTCAAAAGTATGTCAAACATCAAGGTCAAAATTGATGGTGCCAAAGAAAAGGCATCCTCCCAAGAAATACACAGGTAAAATATGAAAGCCGAAGCACCAATCGTTTAAAAGTTATGGCCAAGGTTAAAGTTTTCCAAAAGTAGGTCAAACGTCAAGGTCAAAGCTGTTGGTATCCAAAGAAAGGTCTTGTCACAAGGATTACATTAGTGAGGTATAAAAACCCTAGCACCAACCGTTCAAAAGTTATGGCCAAGGTTAAATTTTTACAAAAGTATGTCAAACTCCAAGCTCACGGTCAAAGTTGTTGGTATCCAAAGGAAGGTCTTAATTGTCACAAGGATAACACATGTTAAGTATAAAATCCCTAGCACCAACTGTTCAAAAGTTATGGCCAAGGCTAAAGTTGGGTAAAATTTTGCAAAACTGGGTCAAACTCCAGGCTTTAGGTCAGAAGGTCATATATGGTGGTACCAAAGGAAAGGTCTTGTCATAATGGACACTCATGTCAAATATTAAAGCCTTACCCTTGACAGTGCAATAGTTATGGGCTAGGTTAAAGTCGACAACAGACAGACAAACAGGACAAAAATAAATACCCCCCGGGATCTTTCGATCCAGGGGCATAAAAATGTACATTTGGTTCTACTTTCATTTACTTAGACTATGAACAATTTTTTGCTTAAAAGCTTTAATGGTTTTATTCACATATCATTCTTTCTTTTCAGTATGTTCCAGAAATAACTTGTATCATATTTCCCCTGATTCGTCAAATATTTCTTTCGTGTATACATGTAAAATATCACTTTGTATCCAATTGTTAAAAAACAGGGGCTTATAATTAAATTGATTCATTCATTCATTCAATCTTTATTTCCCCCTTTCGGAGATTTCATGATACATCCAAATTAAATATTATAATGCATAAAGAACATCATAGAAAATGGATACGACAGGTGAAAATAACGTAATTATATACATGTCAAAGAGAAGCGAAAAAGAAAAAAAATAGAGAGAAAAAAGAAAAATAATCATACTTTCAGTGAACATTTTCAACACTTTGAGTAGCCTTGCCATAATAGGCAGTAGCACCACAAACAAATTGTTTAAATAAATTCTTTCATGGCATTTATATCTGTTAAAGACGTTGGTTAGAGCCCTCCTAGTAACGTTAAATACAACACATCATTGCTTGACTGTGAGAGCTCTACGTACAAGTGTGCGTCAAAGTTATCTTCTATGCTGTCAAAGAAAGCATTTCTGATATGACTAGTGAGTGGGCACCCCAACACAGCATGCTAAAATAGATTATCATACACATTTTGACATAAAACACAGATTTGTACAGTAGATGAAGGTGGGATAGTCCAGAGTTTGGTGAGAAATTTGATGTATGGAACATCATCGAACGAAAAAGTAAATTTCCAAATTTTGCTAGGTTTAACGCTATTATGAAGGATTCTAAACATTCTGAAGTCGGGGTCAGCTTCTGTGCGGACTTTCCAAGCCTCAGTATGGAAGTGATGGATAGCCTTTATAACAATAATTTTCCAAGTCCCTTTCTCGGGAAATTGTCCGTTTTCACTAAACATCTGTAGGTATTGTATTAAATTGTATTTCATCAATATTTCGAACAAATCCTTCTTAAGGTATTCGATGTATAACGAGCTCGTACATTCCCGCTAATTTCCGTAACACTTCGGAATGGGGGATTTCCCTCGAGTTATTCCGGTCTTCCTGATAAGAGTTATCGTTCATAAGCAACCAAAATGGCCGATCAGAGGGACAGTCGAGGTCGGTTCGCGAAGAAAGGTCCCAAAAGAGTTCGAATTAAAAGAACATATGTCTCAACTGAGCATAATTATTTAAGTGGACATCAGTGCCCTGGCGATTCATGTAAAGATAGACGGTGTCCTTTATTTAATAACATCCATGATCTCGGGAAAAATGTGAACCGTAACTGGAAGGACGGACGGCGTGTTATGGAGCTAGGTGTTTTGCTGGAGGCCCTATCCGCATGTTCCTCCTGTCGCATGGGACCGATTCCTCTTTATAAAGAAAATGTTACAGGAGAGAGACGACGAGGCCTTGGTAGATATTTGTACGTCGTATGCATGAATCTCGAGCGTGGTGAAGTTAACATGGTACCATATGGGAAGACGCGTCGACAGAAGGATAAAAGAACAGGAATGCCATGTTTTGTTGTGAATACTAAGTTAGGCACAGGTTTGTTATTTCAAATAGTTTCAGAAATTAAGAAAAATCACAGATGTACACACTGAGTAACAGTCATATAATGTTTAAAATAAACTTTCACTGTTTAATACCATTTTTTTTTCAAACCACTTGTGCACAGTCATTGTACAGGATTACATTGTTTCTAGCTATGATAGACAGTCTAGGAGGGCCAGATCGAGTCAATAACCTCCTGTCTACGCTGAACATACCAACAGTGAACAATAAAACATTAATGGCTATGGAGCGGCGTGCAGGAGAAAATGTAGAAAGTATAGCCCAGTTAACCACAAAGAAAGCAGCTGATGAAGCTTATCACGTGGAAATGGGGTAAGTTTAATCAGTTTAATATGCAGTATTATTGAACATGAAAATGTGTATCAAATTTGGTGTACATAATTGGTTCATTAACTATAATTTGAATTGATGGTTTATTAAAACTTGGCATTTTTCTGTTGCTAATATATAAGCTTTTCTTCTTAGTGAAGTGGCTAATGCAGAGTCCAGTGACGCCTCCCAAAGTATGGAAATATTGGATGATCTGGGAGTTGGAGTGTTACCGGATGCATCAGCAAAAACTAAGTAATTAAATAATTTCAATGAATTCAAATGGTACATTCAATGCCTATAGGCAGGGAAATTTTATTGACATTTATGTCACTTAAATTATTTTTTAATGTAATGATCTTTCAGAGAGATGCTGCTAAAGACCTAGTTGCATGACGCTTTTGATGACTCTGATAATGAATCACCTGATACTGACCACAGAAAGTACACACACTGATACGTTAACTGATATCGTCATATCAATAAGTTTATGTGATTTTTTAAAAATTAAATTAATCAATAATTTGATTGTATAAGACAATAACAATAAGTTAATGTGATTTTTAAAAAAAATTGAATTATGCAATAGTTTGATTGTATATGACCTTAATTTTTTTTCATGTATTTATTATCTACTGTAAAACTAAATAATTTCAGAGTTAACCAAAACATTGCCTCCACCACTGCAGCTACACAACATGGAATGCCCAACACTCCTGAGGTTGGCCAGTCAGTGCAAGTATTTTGTTCTGGTATATTAAAAATATGTTATGCATGTCCTGACATATATAATAAATCACCATTATCAGGTAATAATGAGCAAGATGATACGGCACACCAATATTTTGAAATAAATATTTATATATTATTTACAGGGATGACACAAGTACTGTTTGTACACCAGTTACTACTAATTGTCTTCCACCCTCACAGTCACGGAGAAGGAAAATAAAATCGAAGTCCATAGGCACTCTCAAGAAATCAGTGAATCAAAAGCTAGACAAGAGGTTTCCTTGCAAGACAAGGAGGGGTATGACTTGTGCTGTTGATACGGCTTGGCATAAACGCGGATTCGATAGCCTCACAGGTAAAATGAACTAGATTTTACAGATAAGAAAAAAAACAATGTTATTTTGTTTATGAATAAGATGAAACTTGTGATGTAAAAACTGGGCATACTTTTTTTTCCATTTTAGCACATACATTTTTTATGAGCAAGTCAAAATATGGGAAAAAAGTTCTCAAGACAGTAGTTGGTCATTGGACATGTGGAACCTGTAGGTGGTGGAGGAGAAACCGACCTAGCCTCCCAGTAAGAAAGCATCGTTGTGTTCAAAACCATCATGGTAGTGCAAGAAGCATGGAGAGTTCGACTGGTATCCAAGGCATAAAAGAGCTGATTGATGAAGGAAAACCGGTAGAGTACATTGAAGGGGACGGGGACAATACTTTAATTGCTCGTTTGCGATCAGAGCTAAATTTGGATATGAAGAAACGATTTGACAAAAGCCATGTTGTGAAGAACATTGGAAAGTGTTTGTTTGAACTGAAGGGGAAAAAAACTGAGTAAAACTGTAATTATGCATATTCAGAAGTGTGTAAAATATGCTTTTGTGAAAAATCAGGGTAACAAACAGGGATTGGAAGAAAATCTTAGAGGCCTTATTCCACATCAGTTTGGAGACCATCAGCACTGCAAACCAAGATTTTGTGGCTTTTTGCGGAAACCAGGAGGTGTTTATCAACATAGAAGTCTGCCCTACAAAACAGCACTGAAAGACACCGATTTACAACATCAGCTAGAGGAAGTTTTTGAACCACTCATAGCCAATGCTGAACAATACATAGATCTTGGTTCAAGCCAGCAGTGCGAGCATGCAAACCGTGAGGTGACACTTGGAGCTCCAAAGTCCCTCCATTATGGAAATTCTGAGTCCATCGACTTTAAAGTGCATGCAACTGCTGCATTTATCAATGAAGGACACGGATATATCTCGATGGTATGCTGTTAAAAAAGGGCATTGAAATAATTTTATTTTGATATAATCTTATGGATATACTAAAATTTGAAAAACTTTTGGAGTTCTGAAGTGAAGCCAGTAAAATATTTCCATATACTTGAAACACTAAATAGAATTTATCAATACCTGATATACTTTCTATATTCATATAAGCAGAACTGTGAATTCTCATTACGTGTTTATTGTGCAGATATTTTACCTTGGCTTTGGTTCATGTATTTTAGTGTTATTTTTGTTTGTTTTCTTTGGACCAACATTGAACTTTTTTATTTATGTTTCTCTTTCTTCCAGTTTATACTAATGTATGGAAACAGTTTCAAGACTCAGTAAGTTCATAGTTATTTCTTGCTAGCAATGTGTATTTGAAATAAGAAAATTTATTTCAAATCAATAAAATATTGTAAATATGGATTTTCAAAAATGTTGTTGTGAGCAAATGAGTGAAACTGGTATTTATTTTAGGCAAATGAAAAAGGTGGTATTTCTCCTGGAAAGTTTACTGAGGAACATGCTAGGAAAAGGATGAAAAGGCGCAGAGAGGTGCAGAACAAAATTCAGCTCCCTTCAACTAAGCTTAGACGTCTTATTTTGAAACAAGAAAGACTTGTCACTCAGGGAGCTCAGGAAACACTGGAGGGAGATTCCTATCAGTCCGGTAAATTAGGATGATGAATTCACTCTACAGAATGAACAAATATTTAACATCATCAAGATTTTATATTTACATTTATGCTAATCTTTACAGGTATTGGTCACAGCGAACATCCTGACATCACAAAACTACCAGATCCAGTTATGCCAGGAAGTTTCAAACCAGTGACCCTATCATCAACAGAGGAACCTACAATGGTTATGTTTGATCTTGAAACAACAGATCTTAGTGAGTATTCTGAGGTGTTATTTTTAACGTATTTTCTTTTTTTTTACTTGCAAAATATTTAAATTATATAGCTTATTTTTTTAATTTGATAATTACAGTACGAGGGAGGCAGATGCCCCACATAGTGCAAATTGCAGCTGTTGAACTTAAAAGTGGATCTGCATTCAACACCTATGTTCGACCCAAGATGGCTCAGACAGATACTGCACGGACAGTAACCGGTATTGTTGCCAGTTCTAGTGGTGTATTTGTTGCTGGAAAATTAGTGGAGTCGGAGAATATTCACTCTGCTGCAGAGAAATTCATAAAGAATCTGAAGAAATTCAAAAATGTATGTTTATTTGCTCACAATGGACGGCGTTTCGATTTTCCAGTTCTGATATCAACATTTAAAAACATAGAGAAAGATGTTGAACTAGCCAGTGTTGTGACTTGTTGTATAGATAGTCTCTCAATGTTCAAGAAGTGTTTTAAAGATCAAGATTCATATAAGCAAGAGAGTCTTTTCCGTTCTCTTTTGAATGACACATACAGTGCCCACAATGCTGTCGATGATGTGAAAGCTCTTGGAAAACTTGTACAACATGCATTGCTGTCCAGTGTTGATGTTCTAACCTTTAGCTTTCCTTTAAATGCAGTTCTGCAGCAACTTACCTACAATGGTGAGAAAGCTAAAAACTACAGTTCACTGACAGGACTTGTGCAAAATGCTGTTATCTCGAAGTCCATGGCGGGGAAAATAGCAGGATCTGGGCTGGCTTTTCAGCATCTCAAGGCAATCAAGAATCGTGATGGTGAAGATGGATTGAGAAATACTTTTCTTGACAAAACAAGAGGACAAGCAAGAGTTAATTGCACAAGGAAAACCTTAGATGATGTTGTGTCCAAACTCATAAATGCTTTGTAAACCATTTTAAAATTCAGTGTTAGTTTAGTAAACTCTCTATGTATAACTAAAACATACAGGGTGTTTCAGCAAACACGTCTCGACTTTGCTGTTAGGCCATTCCAATTTTTTTCTATGTTTAGCGTCCAATTTCGTGTCTACAATATGTCATATTAGTTATATTTTAAGCATTCAATTCATGTACTTTGATTTTGCTAATGAATTATAGATCTTTGTACAAGAAAAATAGATAATGAAATCAATTTCTTTGAATTATGTAATTTTTATGACTATAGAGTCTGTGTTTTATTTTTGGTTTTTGTGTTTTTTAACAAAATTTTTTGCATGTTATGCATTAGTATTGGTAATTTGAAGACTTTCTGTTTGTTAGGGGTGCAACGATACACTAACCTCACAATACGATACGTATCACGGTATTCAGTTCACGATACGATACGTATCACGATACATGACAAGGGTTAAAAGTCTTTCAAGTTTGTCACCATATTTTTTCTTTAACTTGACAGGGTTATATAAAATGTTGATATTTTTTTTATAATAATTAAAATAAAATTTTGTTAACTTGAATTGGATTATTTGGTACATCTTTGAGTTTTGACAATATTCTAAACCAATGATGAACATTTACAGGGAACTACGGGGACCTTTCCTAATAATCTTTTTAAATTGGAATGAAAAAGGAAGACATTCATTCTTTTATTCCTTTTATTTACGTAGAAAACCAGTTGTCATATTTCTCGTGTTAACACGTTTTAGTCAACAAGACAGTGAATTCTCATCGAAATACACACGTGATGAAATATCGTGTATTACCAAAGAATACGTTTAGATCTAAAGGGTTTATCATTTGTCTTAACATCTATAACATATAATCACATTAAGTCCTTCTCAGTGCTAAATCTGAGGTCTATAAGATGCTGGAGATGAGTTTAACTTCTGTTAATGCGTTATCGGCGACCTCACGTTTTGCGCGGAAGCCATTTTGAAATTGTAAAAAAGGAAACAAAACGGATGATTCGGATAATTCTGGACCGATTGAACCGAACCGCGATATCAGTTTAGCGTGTCGTGAATTGAACCATGGAAAAATATACCGCGATATACCATCAAACGGTTTATCGTTGCACCCTTACTGTTTGTATAGTTTAGTTCTAAAATATCCATAGATTCATTTTGCAGAAAAAACATAACCTGAATTTTGAAGATGTAATCAAAACTTCAATTATAAAAAATAATGACTTTTTTTATGTTGTTTATATCACAATTATATTGCCAGAAAATGTAATATGAAATATAATTTTGTGAATATTTGATTGTCATGATTATTTAGCAAAAATATACACATCAAAAGTCATGACATGTTTTTTAAACACTCAGTACTATTTTATTACCCATCAAGAGATATGTTTCCTCTAACATGTCTAAAAACGGTGAACAAGAAGTCTGTGAGCCAATGCTCACTAGTAATACCCCTGCTCTGATGTGAATAATACACTCTCATAAGACTAAGTCACTATTAAAAGGAATTTGACATCATATTTATATTCATACAAAAATGAATCCTACCATAAAACATGCCTAAAAGAATGTACTAAAATCTCAAGCATCTGCCATGAGTAGTTGCTCAGAAAACTGACAAAAATTTGATATGAACAAACACATGGATAAACAGGAAGTTGAAATCAGATTTGTAAAAAATGAATCTTACCATATGGCATGCAAAAACAAAGAATGTGCTAAAATTTCATGCATTTGCTATGAGAAGTTGCTGAGGAAAGTGCACCGAAAATTTGTTACGGACAGACAGACAGACAAAAGTTAAAAAAAAAATTGTATATATTGAAAGTTTTTTCATTATCCTGAAGTATTCATACATTATATACCAGCTTGTATCATTTCAAATGTAAATATTTAACTTTTGTGTTGATTTTGCATATCTTTGTACATCAGAGGAACACTTCACAGATTTTACATTTTGGGGGTAGAGGTTGTTATAAGTCATACAGAAAAAATATGAGATGGTGAAAAAAAAATTTCTTAGGTTTATATGTTGCCTATATATGTCTTTAAATTTATATCATTCTGAATATGGATGCACCTCAATAGTTTTTTAAATTTTGGCCACTTTGTGTATTGGTCTGCATTTTGACAAGACATTCTCGGAAGCAGTGCATAAGGTTTGAGTGATTAAAAAAGTCAAAAGACCTTTATAATTTGATTTGTTCTTTATATTATTTTCTTTCTACTCTATTTGTCTTAAGAATATTCTATTAACACACATTTATCATTAATGTGAAATATTTTATTACTCAAGGTTTTAATAAAGCCGTTAGTGCTGAAATACAAAAAATGGTACCTGTACACTTTTTCAGATATTTAGTAAACTATGTGGTAAATGTTCATGAATTTTTCAAAAATAGGGACCTGTTATATGCTGATTATAAAAATGGAAAGTAAAATTCTGTACCAAATTTTGCTCGTTAGGTCTTTCCACCTTTCTGTGGAAAGACCTATTGATTTTCTTCTGTTTATTATTATTATTATTATTATTATTATTATTCCGCTGATTTTTTGTTTCGATGTTTATCGAAAAGATTATTCGTTGACCGTAAAGGTCATAAAAAGTTAGGAACAAATTTGACCCAACGCGTATAACCTATGACCCCTTTCGCAGTTATTGCCCCTTTTGATAGAAACCTTGTTATCGCTACTCCTCCGAAACCATAAACCGTAGAGGTACGGAACCTTCACAAATGACTTCGACTAATTGAGGGGACTCTTCAATCTTTTCATTGCGAAAGTATTCGTCAACCCCTTTTATGAGTTATTGCCCCTGAAAGTTTTTGATGTTTACAAATAATTAAAAATTTTCAAAACAATAAATTATAGAGACATGGGACCAACTGAATAAGATTCAATGACCTTTGACCATATAATATATGCAAAGGTCAAGGTCATTCAAAATATAAGAAATTAAGCTCTTTTTATATCTCTTTTGTCTTTCAACATATACTAAATATCTTTGCATCATTAATATGTTCTCTTAAAACTATTTCAAAGATTTCGTACTTGTCCCCTAAGATTTACCCCTTTAAAAGTTATTGCCCCTTTTATTGAAAACCTTGTTATCGCTACTCCTCCGAAACCGTAAACCGTAGAGACACAAAACCTTCACTAATGTCTTCAGGGTCTTTAGACACAACTTCAATCTATTCAGTGCGAAAGTATCCATTGACCCCTTATATGAGTTATTGCCCTTTAATGTATTTGCGCTTACTATTAAACCTTATAACTTCAAAACTAAAAGGCATAGAAGCATGGGGTCAAGTGCAATGTGACCCTTGACCTTTGACCTTGAAAATTTGTTCAAGGTCAAAGGTCAAGGTCATTTCAAATTTGTTAAATTTTTCATTTTTTCTATCTTTCAAGCCATTTATGGATTCTTTTGGTATAAAAATTAACTTTATAGAGTAAAATGTGAAAAATATATGAAATTTAAAGAAGGTGGAAAGACCTCTAATTGTTCGAGAACAATTAGTTTACTAGTTATACATTGAATACCTTAAAACCAGAAAAATGTTTCTTATTGTTTCGTAAGAAGTCATATAATCTTGCCAAGAAGATGCTTTTTGTTAGAGTGTTAATGTCTAATTTACACAGTTTCCCAAAGAATAATAGTTTTCGCTTGTCTATTTCTGAGATAATGGGATGTACCCCAAGCGTACTTTTACACATATCTTATCTAATAGAAATTTTAAGATCCTGTATGTCATTTATCACAAAATGCTGAAATTTATTTAGGAGATGTAAATCCGTTTGTTTTAAATCGTTCCACAGCTCGCAACCATATAAAACAGTAGGTAAGGCCACCATTAAAAATAGCTTTGTTTCCCCTAACCCGACCCCTAAAATCTCAAGTTGGGTAGGTAGGTAGGTAATATATTTTTTATTTTCTGATAGCAGCTTTGAAAATACATTCTGAAATTTAATGGAATAATACCTATATAAATAAGTAAAGTACAAAAAAGCGATTTGTAAACAGAATATCACAAAAATGCCGTTTAAAAGCAAAATTTAAGGTAAATTAATTCACAACTATAATTCAATTGAATTTGTGAAATATCTCACAGTGTGTATTGTAAATTTATTGAAATCCAATATTTAAAAAGACAAGATTCTCGGATATGCAAAGACCGGGCATCTTAGTATATTTTTCAAACCCACTATCAGCTTCCAGTACTTACACATGCAATGTACTTTTTCAAGGGCCTCGAATCGTGCAGTGGTTCTAGAGCATTTCGTTTTGGAGTCTCGAAGTAAGGAGCTGGTTCAAATCCCAATACGGGACGTTGAGACCAGTCCTTCAAATGAGACCGTAAAATCTTAGGTCCAGTGTCGCAGTAGATGCTGGCACGAAAAAGATCCCTCACTGCTCAATGGCCAAACCTTCACTGGGCAAATGTTCAAATGCTGACATCCTAACAATTCTCAAAAGACTTGAAAACAAAGAGACAACCAATCTTCAAGGGCCTAATTAAAGAGGAATACACTGGACGTCTCAGGAAGTTGTATCATGATTTCAAAACTATTTTAGAAAGAGCAGGTAAACAATATTTAATTGAATAAAATCATATAAAATGAATACGCAATGTCATAGTCACGAAGTTTAACCCATGAAGAAAGGACGTCTGAATTCTATTCACCAGGATGAAATATGCAGATATATTTACAACTTCTGTGGTCCCATATAGTAAACATAAAAACATAGATGAACTATTGATTAGATCAAAACTCAAATAAAATAAAGTATTTTTATGAAATTGTATTTTATAAAAGTTGATACACATTAAAAAAAATATTTGAAAAATCTTATTAAAAAAACTTTTCAGTCGGCGCTATTTAATTGGGTCGGTCGCGTTAGGGGAAACAAAGGTATTTTTTATTTTGGCCTAACACAATTTTCCTGTATAGACTAACAAGGGTTAAAGGGTTGGTATTATTGGACA